GGTAGAAACACAAACGCAGAGAGGATATTAGATAAAGCATCTTGCAAAGCCAAGCGTGAAATATTAACAACAGGAGGCAACGAACTGTGTTTTTATGCAAGATCACAAACTTGGTGGTTATAGTCATACTCATAGAGAAGCAGGGCTGGAAGGGACCTCCGGAGGTCACCTAGTCTAACCCCCTGGCCTGAAACAGGCTCATCCCTATCTGAACTATCCCATACAACCATAATCGGGTTAGAGAGCCCAAGATGTGCTTGCCTATTACAGCCTCAAATTGCTTGGGGAATGTCGTGTTCACAAAGACGCCAAAGCCTCTAACAAAATTTGGAAGAGTTTTGTTCCTGTTTGCTGTTTTTTTTATTAACTGCGCTGCTCGTGTCCCTTTTGCAAAGGGTGGTAAGGAAACCTCCTGTAGAAGGGGAGATGTTTTATATAAGTTCTGTGTATGTGGCCCCTTTTTAGACTATTTCTCCTCGTCATTGGGCACTGAGCAAGTGTACATTTTCTGAGCACTGCCTCACCGCCCCCCGCAAATACAGAGATATATTTGTGCACCCAATTAACTCCTTTGCCCACAGAATTGCAAGGAGTGGGGTCATGCAGACGCTTAGCTGAACTGGCTGCACGAGAATCCTATGGGCTGATGAACCATCCTGGATAAGGCAGTCCAATTCATACGTATAGTAGCACTGACAGGAGCAAACTGCCCCTATGCCGCCTGGACAACTTGCCTTGGAGGGATCTGCTTCTGGGGGGTGAGAGGGTAATGGAGTGACTGTAGTTTGTGCAACTGTAGTTTGGACCTTGCTGTCCAAGCTGCCAATTAGTGCCAATCGTGGCTGTAGCTGTGCGATGAGGAAGACACCTCTTTGACGATGGATACCGGCTCCAAGCATAATGATCTCTGCCACGGAGGAGTTGAACTGACATCAGCTGTCACAATCCCACATGAAATCAAACTCCGGCTCCATACCAGCTAACAAGGCTTCTGCAAACCGGGAGTCACAGAACCAAATGAGAGCCAGGAGGATTATCAGTAGGACTTGGTGAAAACATGGTGTGCGGTAGCTGCCCTCTGTGCAGGACCCTTAGTGACACAGGAAGGGGGAGCAGGGAGGGAAAATGTGAAAAGACACTCTAAAAATGCTGCATTGTTTGCAGAGATGGTCTTTCGTGGTGGCATAGAGGGCATTTGAGGCTCTAGAAACTGGACTGCATGTTGGGGTGTTGGGGGGAGCTTTCCAAATGCATCACACCCAGATACCTCAGGGGACGGAGAAGGCACATACGGTAACCAGTTTCATTCATGGTACCGTGAGCACAGTGGAGTATCTGCAATTCCCATCTGCAGAAAGAGCCTGAGGGCCTAGTTATGCTCCCAGGCCAAGGTCAAATCCACATCACAAACCTGAAGAGCCCATGCACATTCCCACCTTCCTCCACAGCTGTCATGCAAAGCTCCTCAAATTGGTCTGCCTGTCTTGATGTCTAGCCAGCTCTCAATTACTCAGACTTAGGGCTTTAGGCACCAGCATTCACCTACCGATAACTGCAGAGGCTACACAAGGAACTGGTTTCTGGGCTGGCCAGCATCATTCCACCACCACAGCTTTCTGCTTACCTGGCTCAGCGGCAGACTAAGGGGAGTGTGGGGCCAGGGAAA